CCTTAATGTTCCCTTCCTTGTGATGAGGCAGTCTATTTAAATTTGAAGTAGTTGAGTTGCTAGAAAGCTGTTACCATGAGCCACAATTGTCTCTCTGTAGCTTCTCCCACTCAGAATAATGTCTCTTCTTACAGATGTTAGTCTACCTTCCACCTCTGCTCCTAGACACCATGGTAGCTTGAAGTATTCCTGGGTCGCCTTTCTATCTGCCCATGTGTTCACTTGTCATCATTTGTCAGGATTTATTAGTACTCACCATGTGCAATAACATGGATTGTGTAGATTATATAGTAGCAAGTATGGAGTTATTACATTCTCATTAGTCACCTTAGGGATTTAGTAGTGGTGAAAAGGAAATACGCTAGCAGATCCAGACCCTGAAGCTAGACTTCAGAAGAGGGGTTGTAATGAGTGCATCCAGATTCTTGTGTATCATTACCCAGGCCCCATGTGGGTTGACCAATTTAGAGCAGAATAGTGTTGTGCTGAACTTGTACATTACATTGGTGCATTTACAATTTGCACAGTACATTTGTGCTGAATCCAATACTTCTGTTAGTTAAGCCTGTAATTTCACTGGTTTTTATCACATAGCTAATAGCTGAGTGACAAACTCAAACTTGCAAGTCTTTTTCAGGTAAAAAAAAATATCTATAGCTTCTAGCATAGTGTGAGTGTGTGCTTTATATTTTTTGGATGGTCACCTTTGAAAGAAAATGGCTCGTCCGTTTCTTTTTTTAATATTTTTTATTGACTTGTGCATACAAAACTGGGGTATAGGCCAGAGGTGCAGGGGCAGTGAGAGGATTCACCATAGCCAGAGTGGAGAGCAGAATAGCAGATTGACAAAGTACACAGCTGAGGGGAACAACGGGTAGGACAACAGAGGTATGTTGCGCCATGTGGGTCACCTCCGGGGTTGGGATTGAACTGGCATTGAAGCTGCCACAGCCAGTTCTGCAGTGTTACACCTTAACCCGCTGCACCCCCAGGGAGGGCCTAGATCTTAATATTTATGTCTTTTTCCTTCCTGTATAGTATGTGTTTGTCTTTGTGTGTGTGTGTATAATCACTAATTTTAGTGCATAATTTAGCGAGCCTCAAAAATATGCACACTCATGTATCCACTCCTATAGTCATGATATAGAACAATTCTGTCATCCCGATCTGCATCTTTGCAGTACTCTTGTCAATTTTGCCTTTTCCAGTTCATTTTGGTGAATATATAGTAGTTTTATTATGATTTTATTTTGCTTTTCCTTACTGCTGAAAGTTTCTTTTCTATGCCTACTTGGCATTATTCACTCCATTTGTTGAAAGTGTTTGTTCAGATCTTGTTTTTTTTTTTATACATTTTCTATTGCTGAGTTTTAATATCATAAATATGTTTGTATGAAGACAGATAAGGAAGGTGTTTTATTGCTGCTGCATTTTCAAGAAAGGAATCCCTCTCAATGTATACTTTATTTCCTGATTTTTTTTTTGATGACTTATGTAGATGGATTCTTCCATCATCTATTGACTTATTTTCATTGACCTACCCTGTGTCCTAGCATATATTATTTATTTATTTATTTTTAAAAACTGAGGGTTTTTTTTTTTTCAAGATTTATTTATTTATTCATACAGAGGTGCAGGGGTGGTGAGAGGTTTTACCAGAGACAGAGTGGGGAGCAGAACAGGCAGATTGACGAAGTACACTGCTAAGGGGAGCAGCGGGTGGGTCAGGAGAGGTCTGCCACGCCATGTGGTCACCTCCGGGGTCAGATCAAACTCTCACTGAAGCGACTGCAGCCAGCTTGCAATGCTGCATCCTAACCCATTGCGCTCCCATGGAGGGCCACATATGTAATTTATGGCATGTGCCAAATCATGTTCTCTGGAAAAAGACAAAACACACGTTGATTTACCACCTGTGCATCTATACAGATCCTCCACAGCCTCGCACATGTATGCTCGCCACGGAGGACCTTGACTCGATTGGGTGCCACTCTGAAGTCCGTTCAGTCCACCTAGACAAGGACTCCACCTCGTGCTTTTGCCTCTCGTGTACACAGCACAGTGCGGTGTGAATAATAGGTGAAGTCAGCAAGGGCTGTTAATGCACACAAGCTGCTGATCCGGGTAAATTGAATGCTCTTGAACGATTCCAGAGCTTTAGAAAATAGGAGTGCTTTCTGAATGGGTGGATTGAGTACTAAATCATCTCCAATTTCTTGCTTAAAATATTGCTTATGTAAGCTGCAACTATAAAATACCTACATTTTGCTTGATTGCATTCATAAAGTTTCTTGAAAATGTTTTACATCAAAGTTATGATCGAGGCTCTCCCTTGTGGCCAGTGGGTTGAAGCACAGCACTGTGGAGCTAGGGCAGCCCCTGCAGCACCAGTTCCATCTCCCCTCAGCAGTGTATTTCAGTGTATCTGCGCGTTCTGCTCCCCACTCTGTCCCGGATGAATCTTCCCGCCTCCCCTGTACCTCTGGACTACACTCCAGTTCTGTAAGCATAAATAAATAAATCTTAAAAAAAAAAAAAAGTTATGATCAAGACTTAATGTGAATAAAGGGAAATTCTATTTTTAGACTAGGTAGATTTATCTAGGTTACACAACCTAAGAGTATCCCAGATTTGATTTTTTTTTAAGATGGATATGCATACACAACTGGGGTACAGAACTGAGGTGCAGGGGTGGTTAGAGGCTTCACCAGAGACAAAGTGGGGAGCAGAACAGGCAGATCGACGAAGTACATTGCTGAGGAGAGCAGCGGGCAGGTCAGGAGAGGTCTGCCTCGCCATGTGGTCACCTCCCGGGCAGGCGGGGATCGAACTCATGCTGAAGTGGCTTTTGTTTCCTAGTGTTGTGCTTTAACCCACTGTGCCACCAAGGAGGGCCTCCCAGATTTGATTTCAAGTTTCTTGTTGGTATTAATGGTGCTCTATTAGTGGAGCAAGAGATTAGTGTATGTTTGTACGGATGTTGAGTAGTATTTTGTATTAACATGAAGTTGAGTTGAATCATCAAGTGGAAGATCTTAACAGTGTTATTTATGGAAAGTGAAGATTGGTTATGACCAAATAGAACACTGGATTGGCAGTGTGACATTATTAGAGCTCACTTAACCATTCTGGGCTTTTACTCAGCTGTGAAATGAATTAGAATATCTGACTGTGCAACCCATAAGTTTCAAAAATATATGCTGCCCTTATTTTTGTTTGGACAGTTTTGATTTCAGATGAAAAATTTGAAGGAAATTCCAATTCTGAAATTCTGCACGTACAGTATTTCCCCCCAACATAAGTGTGTGACTTTTCTTCTTATAAATCATTAGATTTCAGTTGTAGTTATTTTGCTTTCTTTCTTCAAAAGTGTCTGAAGGAAAAGGTGCAAATAATGATAAAGATGAAGAGGAATTTTTGATACATTTTTATTTAGGACAAAACCAACAATAATGGTAGTAAAATTCAAATCTTTTTACACTGTTATTATGGGTCACAATAAGTTTATGTTGGGTTCAAAGATATTTTGTATTAATTTTTTTTCAATATTCTATAAGATAGCTATGATTTTTATTTGTTTTAATTCCCGGAAACCCATATATTTCCATGCAAATAAAATCTTAAAAATGTTAAGTTGTAAATTTTAAAAAGAGCCATAGAGCTTAGAGTTTATATTTCTGTTTAACTATTTTGCTACTTGTTATTGGCACTAATTTTTGCTTTATCTTTTTGTTGAGCATTGTTAATGGGCAAAGGGAAGTAGATTGTTCAGAAATTTTTAAATCTGAGTATGGGATGTATCAGGCCTCTTTCTTCTTTAAGCAGACATTTTCAGGCTTTCTTTTTATTTATTTTTTTGAAGCTACAGAAAGTTTCTAGGTCAAGATTTCCTGCCTTACTACTAATAATAAACTGGCATGTCATTCATTACGCATCACTCCAGAAAGGAGATAATGACGGCTGGGAAACGGGCTTCACCCTTAATGAAGTGGTTCTCAGACATCATCTGCTGAAGTCCCAAGTGCCTCCTTGAAATATTTCACTATTGATTACTCCTGTAACCATGCAAAATATGCAGTAAATTGCAATAAAAAAGATACCTACTATCCTTTCCCTCCCTTTTTTCCCCCTTCCCCATCTGCTGGCTCCCACTTTCAAGTCAACAAAGATGTAGCTGTTTGCACTGATGACATAAGATGAAAGCAGATGTAGGGGAGATGGTTAAGTTTTCCACCATGTATTTTCTTTTAGGTTGCCAGATGCTCAGATAACAATCACTTTTAAGATTCATCCAAGTTTCTCCAAATAGAGTAAAAGCATTTATGTGTCACACAGACTTGTGGACACTGCTTTTCTCAAAAACCTATTTATTACCCTATATGTAAAAAATGAACCCATAATGTTCTGGGCCTAAACACATGTTGTATTCATTGTTTCCTTCCTGAAAATAAAATACTGTGTGTTCAAAATTGGGGGCCTTAGAAGAACAAAGATTGGGTTTGTGAGTCTGTGTCAGAATTGCTTTTGGAGGACAAGAAAACAGAAAGAACCTATTTTGTACTATATTATCCCTTGCAAACATTAACAAAGTTTCTGACATGTGGTGTTATCTGTCATTTCCCTGGTTCTGTAGTTGTTTATGAGATGGGCTTATCATTTTGGTGATTTTGTGAACTCCAAGGACTGACAAGTCCCGTTGGGGAGGTTGAGTTTGGGGTGACACAAAGCCACATTGGATATCTCCAGTACCTGGTCCTTTGATGTTACCCATTAAATGCACAAAGAAACGCTATCCTATAATTTGAATTGGGTTTCTCCTGAAATAATATAAAGGAGCATTTATAGTAGAAAAGAGGCTTTAAATCCACTTTTTTCCCTAGGTATATTAGAAAATACACCGTGTCTGTTATTCAGTGAAAATTGGTTTCCTTTTAATGACACTTAAAATTTAATCACGTTTACACTTTAGAAGAATTTATAATTTGTCTTTTTTCCTTTAGAAATCACTAGTTGGACGTCGAGAGCAATTACCCTGATCTTACTGAATATAAAGTTGGAAGTTATCAAGATCTTGAAGGGGGAGTAAAAGGTAACTTCAAAAAAATAGTTAAATCCATGTGTAAGTGACACTCATGAAGCACATAGTACTTTTGATTTATTTGCTCAATTTAGGAGCCACCTTTTACCCCACCAGTTCTTATTTCCTGCGTTCTCCTTACCATTTCTCCCTCCTTTTCCCTTCTCTCCTCTTCCACATGCTGCTTCCCTCCTATTATCGCCTCCTTCCTTTATTTAGCATCTGTTGTGAAAGTCTGTCTTGTGCTGGGCACACACCTCACCTTCATAGCTCATGACTTGGTGGGAATGGAGGTATTAGCAGAAATGTGGGGTTCCCCCACTACTGCACACCTGCTGGGCTGCTGAGAAGCTGGGTCCCTGCCCTTAATGCACTGGCCCCTTTACCCAAAATGCATGAACTTCTTCCAGCTCTCTCTGAAGTTACATGAGTGCTTGGTTGCAGTAACTTTTTTCTGAGAATTCTGTGGATGGTTAGCCTCCCCAGTTAGAATCACAGTCACTTGTGGGGGATAGATTAAGCAACATCATTGTTCTGGGAAATTTATAAATATTCTCAATTGGTGAGACATCTGGATAAGAGTGTGCCCTCCAGTCTGAGACTAGATTTCCTACTACCCTCTCTTTGCACTTTTGTTCATCTCTTTACAATTCTTACAATTGATCACTTACCCTTACTAGATATCCCTCCTTCCCCCACAAAATAAAACAACACACACACACTATATCTGAAAACAATTCCCATGATTCCAGCAACCCATATTCCACAATGTACTCACTGGTTTATCTGTTTTTGCTTACTCCTGCCTTGTTTAACTTAGTAATGGAGAGCCTGTTGCAACTAGGCACTCAACGGACCATGGTCACTAACCACCTAATGGCCCTTACGTGGACATCCAGACCAAAGTTTTTGTTCTAGAAGCCTCTGGGCCACATGAGCTGGTACCTTTGAGCTATGCCAGCTCCAAAGCAGGACTTTAGTTTCTTTCTTTTTTTTTTTTAAGATTTATTTATTTATGCATACAAGAACTGGGGTACTGGCCCCAGTGTGGGGGCATGAGAGGACACACCAGAGACAGAGTGGGGAGCAGAACAGGCAGACTGATTGAAGTACACTGCTGAGGGGGGCAGAAGTTGAGACAGGAGAGGTCTTTCTACACCATGTATGTAACCTCCCCAGCCAGGGATCAAACTCCCTGCCACAGTGGTTGTGGATAACTCCACAGGTCAGGTCTATATGCTCTAACCCCTTGTGCCACCAGAGAAGGCCGCGACTTTAGTTTCTTTTTAAGATTTATTTTATTCATGCATACAGAACTGGGGTACAGGTGAGAGGATTCACTAGAGACAGAGTGGGGAGCAGAACAGGCCAACTGACGAAGTACACTGCTGAGGGGAGCAGTGGGCGGGTCAGGAAAGGTCTGCCACGCCATGTGGGTCACATCCAAGGCAGGGGATTGAACTTATGCTGAGGTGGCTTTAGCTTCTTAGTGCTGTGCTTTAGCCCACTGTGCCACCAAGGAGAACCCTGACTTTAGTTTCTTAATGATGAGTTCCTTCAAATAAACATGTAGAGGGGAATCCTATTCAGATTGATTAGTTGAGTTGTGATCTACCTGTGCCCAAACCAGTCCTGCCCCCACCAACCTGTTATTATAGCTTTTCTTATGAGGGACAGATGGCAGATTCACAGACCCATCCTTCTTAGTGTGTACAAGTGTGACTTTTGGCAGTGAGGAGATCAGCTCTGACCCTTGCCACATATAACATACATGTACCTGGGAAAGCTGTTTAATCTTTAGGTCACAGTTTCGTCATCTGTCAAGATTTAATCATACCTCTATGACTGTTGTCAGAGGTAAATGAGCATGTGGGATGTGTAGTTTCATGGTAATAGTTTTTGTTCCTATTCTGCAAAATGGAGGTAATTTCTGCTTATGGTTCGTTATAAACTGAAATGAGCTGGTGTGCATGGCTACATTGTGTCTGGCATATAGTACACAGTGTACAATTGATAGGACCCAGTGATAATGGTAAAATAGCAATAGCCTTATCAGCAGATGTGTTCAGAAGGGAGAGACAGAGTGACTGAATGCTGGTGACTATCTAATGGTAGTGGCAAGAATTACTGCAAATTCCATTTGTCAAGAAGACATATATTTATTGACAATTTACATTATTTGTCATTATTTGTTTGTTAAGTCATTGTCTACATTTTGGTCATAAGAGTTAACACACAAAGGTTTTGCTTATGATTAGCTATTAGAGTGAATAATTAGTAGTGATAGACTCCTAAATTCCTTTTATTAGTGCCAGCTTTTTAGTTATATGGAACAGTATTTTCTTGTGAAATTTTGAAACTAAAGTAAGAATAAAAATAATCGATCTTAAATAACATTGGAATCAGTTAAACTACATGTTTCATTTAAATGCCTCATTTAAAACATATCTTGTCTCTTTCTTAAGTGTAAGTATACTGAATTCTTATCACCCATGCTATGCAGTTATTCCAAAACTGTAAGGGGAGAAAACTAAAATCTAGTAACATTTGAGTCTAATTTACCTAAATAAATGAGGCTTGAACCAAAACCACATTTGTGAATAGGTATAGTAGAGAATTTTCTTACCATTAGTTTTGTGCATTTGGTTTTCGTATAGTAGAAACAAGTGACATTCATTGGCTGAAGGAGCGTGCAGTAAAGAAAAGTGAGTGTTATTCAAGCAACTGTGAGTCACCTTCAAAAGTGAATATGCTTGAACTCTCTGCTACCTCTGTCCCTAGGCCTGGCACTACTCATGCTGGGCGAGGAGGAAAACAACTGAAAATACAGCAAAGGAACTGGAGAACTGCAGTTGCTGCTGTTACAATGTGAGAATATGATGACTTTTCAATTTGCCCTTAGTATTACTGTGACACAGCTTAAACTGTAAAGACTTTTCAGTGGGAAGGATACTTTGTGTGCATTTGCATGCAAGAAACTAATTCTTTGTTCTATCCCAAGTTTTAGGATGCTGGTGAACTGCAGTCAACCTCTGTTTTCCTTCTGCCTTCCCTCCTGAAGGATCCTTTCCTCTCTCCTAACTTATCTCTCTTAATTATCTGCTCTTCCTCTTCCCCACACTCCCTGCCTCCTTAAGAGGTGGACTTTGAACAGACTCTTTCAGTTCATGATTGCAAAGCATCCCCCTGCAGGGTGGGTTGCTTCTTCAGGGGTCTTACTGAGAATTCAAATGACAGTATCCCTTGAGCAATCACTGTTGTGACTTGTGTTCCCGTAGACCAGGAGGGAGCAATCAGCCACTCTGTTGGGATCCACAGTGGTACATTTCTGTTAATGACTTAAATTCACCTCCTAGAGTGGATCTTCAGTGCCTTCTGCTGCAGCTTTTCTCAGCTAATTTGGCAAGAAATTCTTCCTCTATTAACATCACCATTTCTGGCAGAAAACAGTATTGTGGATTCACAGGAAAAGTAAGACTCAGCCAGTTTTTGTGTTCTGTTTGAAAGCAAGACTTACTTTCTTATCTGCAAAAGCTCATTCCTCCTGGTGGAAATCTAGCACTGTGACTCCTGAAAGTGCTTAGTGTTCTTCCCGACAGTAGACATTAGCTTCCTTTCATCATCACATTTTTTTTTTGCAACAATTTTAGGACTTAAACAATTTGACTTTGTTACATGGTTGTAAGTAGGTTATGTTTTGTTCTGAGATTAAACAAATAAAAATGATGCAGCTTCTTCTGAAAATCTGCAACAATATCCAGTGAACATTTCTGAAGACTGGAGGACTGTTTAGTTGCTGCTCTGAATGGGATAGATTAGTGAGTACCCCCATCTCAACCCCCACCCCAAGGGGAACCTTTTACCTAAACACTCCTGGACTTTTCCCTCCTTATTTGCTGTTAATATTTTCCAGACCTCAATCCCATCAAAGAGCACCAGTAAAGCATATGTTTACATAGAGTAGTTGATAGTTCTTCAAACCCTAAGAATTTGAATTTTTCTTCTATAAGTACTGGTGTCTTGCATTTTTGAATTAATGTAATGTAAACTCAGATTTTCCTAGACTGAATTTCTCTGATATCCAGTCATATTTTTATTTTTACCTTTTTTTAAAAAAGATTTATTTACTTATACATACAAGAACTACGGTGCAGGTCAGAGGTATGGGGGTAAGAGGACCCACCAGAGATAGAGTGGGGAGCAGAACAGGTGGAATTACTGAAATACACTGCTGAGAGGAGCAGTAGGTGAGACAGGAGAGGTCTGCTGTGCCATGTGGTCACTTTCCTGGCCAGGGATGGAACTGGTGCTGCAGTAGTTGCAGATAGTTTCACAGCGCTGCACTTTAATCCCTTGTGCTGTCAGGCAGGCCCCCTATTTTTATCTCTTTTAATTGAAGGAGAAAATCATCTGATGGTGTGGTATTTGGTTAGTGACAGACTTTTTACATGCTAATGGCACTAGTATACAAAGTGTTAAAAATTTCTTCCCAATTTAGCCTATAATCCCATGCTCTGATTTACATACAAAGCCTGTTATCTGCACTAAATGAATTCTGTTATGTAAGATTCCTGCAAGAAAACAACAGTAACAGCACTTTTTATCTTGGGTGGGGGTCGGTTTATACATAAATGCACAATGCTGCTTATCGTCTCTAGAAAAAAAAATGTGTTTATTGTATTAACTAAAATCTATTGCCAATTAAAGTCACATATGTCAGTCATAATGATAAAATTCTGTTTTAATGAGGGGGTTAGAATCTTTTAATCTTTTAGAATCTTTTAAAATGTTCTTAGTAGCATCTCTTCAGTAATATCACCCTTGGCTGTGTCTTTTGACTTGCTGCTGGAGTTAGTGAGATTTGGAAAGCTGACATTCCTTCTGGCATCATTGCTGAGGTTGGCCACGCCTCCTTACTTTGTCTCCCTCCCCTCTCCTCCACTGCAGGTAGCATTTCACCTCAAAAGAGTCTCTTCTTTCTTTGGTCTCTGTCATCTGAACCGACAGGCATC